TCCTCCCCCCGAGGCTACAAGTTAGATTCTGATCTTAACTTAAATCTGCTCAGATAACTTTTGAAATTTTCGTGGTCATTAAGAAATAGGGTTAATTTATAGTCCGTGATCACATGACAGTTTCATTTTGATGGAAGGCGAAAATCTATTAGTTAAGCTCCCTTTATTTGAGCTAATGAATTCTAGATTCCACTACTCCCCAATACTTTTATACATGACCATCTTATAAAAGGAATTAGGGATACTGACAAAAGTGTCAATTTCACGCTTGGTGGCAGTCTTAGTAAAACATCGGCCCGTTCTTCCCAGAACACATGTATGACCACGAACAATGAAATGAAACCGAAATATTTTTATCTTTAGGTTTTTAGTTGCTTTTGAATATTAGAGGAAAAAATACATTTTAGAGTCTCCGAAGATCAGTACAAATGAGATAGTCTCAAACAGCACTATTTTGTTCTAAGATCCATTTGATGAAGCACAAAAATTCAGCTATAAAAACGGTACATTTATGTCTTTTTCTAAATTGAAAGTGCTCAAATTCAAGACCATTTTTGAAGACAACAAATGCGAGACTAACCTTGCCATCAGTTTCGCTGCCATCAGTATAACAAGTTACAGGCGAATCATCTAGATTTTGTTGCTAAATTAAATAATATTAACAGCATTTCTTTCTGAAGCATGAGGAAGGTCAGATGGAGGTAAGACACAATCATATTCACAGAACAGCAGAAGCAGATATATTTTCCCTATAGGCAATATAATGTAGAATGGCAATGTCGATAGGAGGAAAGCCAGAAATTGCATGAACAGACTCATAGCTAATGGTACGTTATCCACATATGACCCGCAGAAGTATCCGCATTTGAATGCATCGTATATATTTGTAATTTATCTTCTTCTTAAGCGACATACTACAGTCTAGAGCCATACACAACGAAGGGTGCAATTCCTTGTTTATAGATGAGCGAATGAATGTTGTAATTAATATACCGTACGTGTTACGTGCAATGCGACTTAATACAGGCTGGAATTTATCACATTTCTCCGCAACATAAGGTAAGTGTCGCTTCCAAGAAAATTTACAGTCAAGAAAAACCCAAAGATATTTCATTTGCTTAACCACAGTCAAAGAGGTGCGTTGAGAAATAACTGAGATGCATCATAACAAATGCTTCTCTTTTCAATAATCATAACTCTAATTTTATCAGAATTTTATCAGGTCCAATTTAAAACCTTAGTCAGAGCGAGATTTAAAGTCTCTTCTGCCTGGAAAAAAGTAGCAAGAAGGTCCCTACTCTGAAAGCAAAACAGGATAATCATACGCAAAGGCTATAGTATTACAACAAGTTTATTTCAATTAGAAGAGATATTTCAGAAGAATATCCGAATATCCTTCTAAATTGCCAATATGATTGGCTATTCTTACAAATAATGAATAATATCTGTTTCTTCATTTATTTTGTTCACATTTACATCATACATTCACTTTGAAAAACGATTTAAGTAGTGTAGAAACATTTTCCTGTTATAGCCAAATAAAAATTTGATCATAAACGAAATTCCCAAACTTGTTTTAAACATGTTATAAACTTATCTCCCTGTCTCCATAATCCAATTTTCTTTCCTACTTTTCTGTGTCTTGTTTCGTAACTAAACTTCTAATGGTTTTACCTAAAAACGGAACAATAATAACGATATCGCTCATAAGAGTTGCAAAGAGATCAACCATTTCATTATCACGAATGCCAAAGTAATTTCATGTCACTTTTTATCCCAATAGAAGCAAAGGCACTTTTAATATTTAATACATTATACATTCTATTTTTATAAGACGCTAAGGCTTGCAAAACACTTCGATTGTGGCAAAAAACCTTAATAGTATCATTGTCTTGAAACATTTCCAGAACAGTGGTTTACCATGTGAAAGCTTCTATTAGAGGTAATTCGGCTAGGAACACTGAGGAAGAATCGTAAGTACAAATTATGATTTTTTTTTCTCGTAAACCCATTATTAAATAATACTATAAACGTTGCAGCTTATCTTGAATTTAAGAACCATCACTAAAAATTTCACATCCTTGACTATTTAGACCACCATAGTGTCACGCAAAAGCCTTATGTTTTGCTGGTGGTGTAGATCTCTCTTTAATTCTAGAATTTTTATCGCTGTTGCTTATTTTTATGTCTTAAACTACAATATTTTCATTTCCATGAAGAGAAAAATACAATTTTTATTACATTTTGTCTTTTAGATGAATAATTAAAACTCAAAGAACTTGGGAAGCTGCCACGATGCAATTCTGTACGCTTTAATCATCGATAGCAAAACCAATCATTATACCAGTGTTAGCTTTTAATCACTCTAGCCGTTCCAGTGTACGAAACAGGATGACCGTAAAGTATCATGCTTTCTAAATGTCTAAGACATAACTATTTAAAAATTTTCACTTTTAAAATTTTATATATTTTAAGCAGAACTTTTTACTTGTTTATTAAAATTTCATCCATTAATCCTTAGAAACCGAAGCCTTCACTAACCTGTATACTTAAAACCCCGAAACACCCGTCCTCGTCCATTACCCGTCCCGTTCGTTTCCTCTCCTCCCGTCCATTAACTATGAAGAGATGTGAAAATTTTAAACGACTCTCTTTCCACTTCCTAACAATGAAGCTTCCATTAGCCTTTTAGGACAAGCTGTCTGTAGTAAACTGATACAATGCATTTGGGAAAACTGCACCTGCTAATGCGTACCTTAGGGGCAAGGAAGAAAACAACATCTAATTTTATGAGGTATGGCCTCCATGCAAATCTAGGATCAATGATAAACGCAAATATTTCATAGTAACACTGTTTGTAACGGGGATATCATTCCAGTGTAGTTCTGAGAGTACATTTAATCTAGAACCTTTAGGAAAACTTAGCAACTGACTCTCTTTGATATCAAATTCAACTGATATAAACACTTCTAATAAATTTTCTTCAGCCAGCTCGCAATGATATTCCACAATATCAACTTAAGACAAGAACCTTTCAATGCACCTTTTCATAATTGTTCTACAGCATAAATACCTTCTTTTTTTTTTATACTGTGTCATGAGATCAGATAAAGAGTGTTTGATCAATTTAAAGATATTCTTGGGCAATTAAAAGCTTCTAATCTCCCAATAATCCTTCTAATCCCTGAGCGGTCACCTAAAAGAATTGAAAGTAGACTTGACATCCGATGAAATTATATTAATATGTAAATTATTTCTTTTATTTTGTGAACAAAATGCACCACAACATCACATTTGTCTAGAACAAATCTAAAATGTGAAGTTAAATCAAGTTATTAAAGAAGAGTTTCTGTTAAATCAAGTTATTAAAGAAGAGATGATGTAATAACCGTTGATTCATCATTTCATAAAGAATAAAGAAAAAGATTGAAGACTTGCTTGGAAACACGATTTTTGGCATTAAAAGACTATAATTAAACAGAAATGAATGATAGGTTCTATAGAATTCATCAAAGTATTTCCTGAAGCTTAAGTGTCTAGAAATTTTATATTTCAAACGTAGTTTATTGAAACGATTTCCAGCAAAATCAAGATATTGCATCGACTAGCTCTAGCTTACCATGACCTCAAACATGAGATGATAAAGAACACTGTAAAAAGCTTCCAAGCATGCATAAAATATTTCTTACTTTCATACTTAAAAAATTACGTGCTTTTTCGTAGCTCTCCAAAGTGCAGCAGTAGACTTGTATAGAAGGAGATTCTGGGTATCAGGTGATCTAATTTTTTCCCTCTAATTTCCGTTTTTAAGCTGTCAAAAATGTCAACAAAGAAATAATTAAAAGAATTAATGAGCACTGAACTTATTTCCTCTTTTATGATATTTTACTAATTATCGCACATATCGATTTTTCCAAACTCTTAAAATTAATTTTCATACCATTTCGCTTTTGCTTAAATCGCTATACCTTTTTAAAATATAGTTTCTACATACAATTTGATACACTTTTTGTACATGCACTTTGCACATGTACTATTTTTTACCTGAATCTTTAATGCACAGAAACTTGACATTTAGTTTATGTACAGAAGGTGTTAAGAACTTTAGCTAACTAAGTTTGCTCTTATAAATATCAGCCGATTCTTTTTTCATTTTGGCTTGCCAAAAATCGAATGAATAAAACTATTGAATACTGCTACCATGTATACATTGGTATCATTATTAAGTTCCTTGCTATTCGAACAAGTTGACAGCTTGAACTTTCCTGTTTTCACACATTCTAATCTAAATAAGGGCTAATTTCTCTTATGAAACTCTCTGTTCTTCCTAATACAGACAATTGCTTTAACTAAGTACTTATCTTAGTCCAAAATATAATTACTAAAATGTTAAACTCCATACAAATTATAAACTTTATGCATAGTAACTTCAATATTTCAGCTATTTTTTCAGTCTTAACAAATATTTTATTAGATAGTCATACTACATCATCGCTTTTCTTCCATTCTCGTAAGGAATGTATTAATTATAATGTTTTGTCAATAATTTCTAAAAATATTTAAACATATTTTTTTTCCTTCTTTAAGGGAACTTATAAATGAATCGTCAAGGCTGTCGATGAAAGGCTTTATTATGTAATCTCAGTTTCTGTTAAATCAAGCACAGCAAAAACTGTGCAGTAAAACATTTTCTGCAGGTTTGTCCTGCAAGATGAATTTGATCGGAAATTTGTGAATAACCATGCGTGTTTTCCTTCCATCAAGGATTTTCCACAGACTGCAAGGTCTAGATTCACCGATGGGGAAAATGTTAACAAGACATCACAGAAATTATTCGGAGTTTGAGTACTTTTTGGGTAATTCCACTCTGCCATGATATACGACTCATTGAATTGTTCCGTCTATCCATCTTGCACTTTTTCGCCTCCTTGCTTACCGACAATAGCCATCAAGTTCATTTCAATTTCTTGATCAGCCATGCGGACTGTTCTTGCTGTATTTTTTTCGAATTTATGACGTCATGGACAATCTATATATTATAAAGCTCTTATTGGTGATATTTTTTTAATGCATTCTGAACTCAACATTACCATTTATTAATTCTTCCGGGTTCCTAGCAACACACACATTTTGCCTTCTCATCCAGAGGTAAGATTTGTGCAAAAGAAACTCGTTTGGCATTTTTCTAATTTAAAATACATTTAGTTCTTCCTTAAAAATGCAATGAATGTATTTTATATGCTCTCTTTTTATGTAAGCTTACGAACTGTTCGCAATATATTAATATGTATGAAAATTTTATATTTTGATTTTTTAATTGTTGGACCGTGGCTGAATAACCACTTTATAAAACATGGGTCATAAATTTTATGTTTTATACTACATTTTCAATTTAGAATTCAGAGGAAGGAGCGCTATGATTTATTCGTGCATTTTATTTTGCGCTCTACAGTGGAAATTTGGCAGATAAGATAAAAAAATGTACGCATATTATTGTTTCGCGGAAAGATGTTTGCAATTATAAATGTGAACCTTTTATTGTACCCTCTGATTTCACGGCATCGAAGAGCAATATTTATTTAAACTATGCAATTTAGAACTATTTTATCAATACGCGAAGGAATAGCTTTATAATTTAAATTTAGGAGACAGGAATATAAATACGATCACTACGTTATTTCAGTTTGGTTCCAGAGAACGGAGTAAAGAAACATGACAGTCTTTTTTAAAAACTCAGTCTTAATCTAAACGTCAATAATTTGAAGGTAAAAGACATAGCAAATAGGAATTTTAAGTTATATAAAACTAGAATTAAATTTTTATGTTGAATTATTAGGTAAAACCTAATTACCTTGAAATCTACTTTTTATGTAACATTCCAATTTGCAGCAATATTTATTTGTTGATTCAGCATTCATTAAAAAGAAACAAAATCACTTGAATTAAGAAAAAAGCGTTTTCAGAATGCCAAATCGTTACTTTCTAAATTCATTACCACTTATATTAATTATCTGCTTTTAATGGTATACTTACAATGTAGATGTGATATCAAAATGTTACAATATGATGATACCCTTTAATGTGATATCAAAATATTACAGAAAACTTGAGAATCAAAAATATTTCTCCTTTAATAATTTTAATCACAATTCCTTTACAAAAATGAAAGAGCATTCTGGATTGGATTAGATTGGATTATTCAATTATGGCAAAGCACATGAGGGCTATCTGCCTAAAGGAGGGATGATTTCGTGGAGGACTTTCTAAGGGAAACTGGCTCGTATACGCGTTACACATGGGGAAAACCACGAAAACGCCCATGCAGCCAGCCCGTTCGTGGGATTCGAACCTCAGACCGAACTACCAGTGTTCAGCGTCTTTACCGCTCGGCCGCTGGTGGGCGAAAGAGCATTCTGAAAATCATGCCTTGCAATAATTGTAATTTGTTTCGCAATATTTTTTTTATTACATTATTTTATTTTGTGATGAAAATACATTGTACTTTCCAAAAAATAATAAGTATAATATGTTTAATTGTAAAATAGAGATTTATATAGCTACAATATTTTTTCCTGAAATTGTTAATTAAATTATATTTCACGGATGTATTTGAGAAAATGAAATACGTAAGACGATAGCATAAAATATGGATATATCGTATGTTTATTCTACATCGTAAGAATTCCCATTTAAAAATAAGCAAGTTCTGCAAGGAAAAGAAAATATTACATCACCTACAGTCCAGCTATCAAAGGTAGAGCTTTTGTTGGAAGCGTGCTATGAAAGTTCGATTCCCATTTTGGGAAGAGAAAGAAAAATTTCTAAGATTTCATTTTCCACGTAAACGCAAACATCGTTTTGTCTTTATCATTTACTGGGAAACGTTTCCCTTCTTTTTTTACGTGTGTATGTTTAGGCTTTTTCTTGCTTGTGTGCCGTGTATTGTTTAAATAATAAGGGACTGTTAAATAATAAGGGCAAGATCTTAAGAATACATTAAATAAACTGAAAGGCATCTGAATAACAATGATTATTCTTTTTGAAAATAGTTTGAGCAGCGCAAGGGCTTTTTCGCCCGTGCACAGAAGCATCTAGTAGATCAGCCTAGCATGGATATTCAATATCTGATAATGTATTGCCCATTTCTTGCTATAACAACAAAAGTCAGACCTTTACAATGACTCTGAGGATTTAACAAATGAGAAAGTATGGCATAAAGTCGTAGAGCACTCAGAGCTGCTACTGGACACTAATGGACTTAAAATGATTTCTTTAATTCGTCTCGCGGATTTTAAATGCTGTTAAAATGATACTACTGCACTTAATTAAATTACTATTGCACTTTAAATGCTACCGCACTTAACTTCTTGGTCTTAAACCGGTTTAGATGAGTTTAAATATAGTTAATATCCTCTGAGACAGCTTTCTCAGTGACTAGCTTATTTTACACAAAAATTATATTTTCATTAGGAAACTACAGTTTGTACATATTATGTTTTTTTATGCAGCTAACTTTCAAAAGAATTAAAAAAATAACAAATTTTCAGTTATGCATCTAAATGAAGAATTTCCACTATATTTTCATTGTAAATTTAAAGTAATATATTAATGATTTGCATACAAATAAGTTAACCTACCAGAAATTATTTTCAATTATTTATTATATGTAGGCTACATCATTTTTTATTCAAAATATAATTTATTTCTGTACATTTTTACTCTGCCTGATAACCTTTAAATAAAATGTCTGTTTTTGAGTTATGTTATTTCCTTTTATGCATTCAAAAAAATGTTCGGAAAGAAAAAATACTGCTAAATTACAGGTAAACAGCTTCAATTAGCAATTTTACTGAATTACGGGTAGTTGAGAAAGTCGCTAAATTTACAGCTCCCAGCCCAAAGCAATCCTGTATAAATATTATCCAAGCTTATACTTCAAATCCATCTGCCTGCATTATACCAAGGAAAGAAAACTGAGCATTCTGTATGCCAGATATGAATTCATCCATCTGTTTGATGAGGAGAGGGAAAACCTGATTCTGTCTATAAATATCTGGTTGAGATAAGCATTTTAGGAAAGTCTAATTCTTCGAAATCGTGAAGTTTTACGAAGGAGAAGAAGCACTGGTGTTATCTTAGCCGTTCAAAAAGAAAAGCTTACAGAAAAATAGAAATTATTCAGAATTTATGGTTACGGCTTTGTGAAGTTTATAGAGTTTGTACCTCCTTTGTCAACATAAACTAGCAAACTTGTATCAAACTCGTAACAGACTTAAAGCGAATTATGGCTGTGTCTGAGGTTAACGACAGAGACTCGGGAAGACTCGGAATAAAAATAACATTTTTATTAAATCAGAACTTTAACATAAAAGCACTTCTCGCGTTAACACGATCGACTACCACAAGTGGAGATGTAACTTAAAGTAACAAAGTCATTAAAATTAATATTAAACTTAACCCAGTAGTCACGACTACACAACTGATTTTAATTCTAATTTGGCTTCCAACTTCTCACCGGCATCGATAACGAAAACTTAAAGAATTAATCAAGCTTATGAAGCTACAAGCTTATCAGAGCTGGCGAAACCTAGTAATGCGGCCTCGACAGGCAAAAAACACGCTCTGTCTTACAATCTAAAACCTTCAATTTAAATACTCTCAAACAATTCCACATTTATGATGAGTAAACGGAAAAGGATAATTAATAGTTAATCAAAATTATGATTAGCCTAGAAGTTCATTCACATATTCGCACTAAAAAAAGATCTTAAATAAGTTCCAGATGAAGCCTCGATCTCTAACACTTTAGTGTATGTAGACAACACATTGCAAAGAATTTTTGCGCGCAATTTGACATGACATATTTTTTTGCTCAATGATTTAATTACCCCTTTCATTTCTTATTTTTTTGTACACATTGCCTATACTTGCACTTTCACCTATAAAAAGCAAGTTTCCTTTATTGAAAAGGTTCTAACACGTATACTTGCAATAGTAAACGTATAAGGTAGTGTAGTAAAAAATATAATCTCATGATATATCTAAATGGAATTAATATTTGGACTAATCTTTTATTACAGGCAGAAAAGCAAGATAAAATGAAAATAAATTTGTTAATCGTAGTCGGCGCTTGTATCGCAACTCTTCTTCCACCACATGCTGAAGGCTTCGGATGTTCGAATGACATGTGCGGTGTCTTCCCCTTCTTCAGTCCTGTGTGCTGCATTCTGGCACACACTTGTTGCAACATCGCTCTCCAGAGGTTAGAGGGAACTAAGCCGCCTTTACGAGAATGTAAAACTAACGCGATATCCGCCGAGCCAAGGTAAGGACAAATATTGGGTTATATATCAGAAAACTTTTACCATCCATTTAAAATATTTTTTTGTTTTTGTTTTTATTTAATCACTCTAATTTAAGACGCAGATACTTGATAACAAACAGCTTTCAACGACATTATGAATCGCTTATAGTCATTAGAATCGATTTTATAAATGATATAAGCCTACGACCCGATCTATTAAATAACACATTACTTGAAAGTATTTTAAAAATTTAAGCATAATAATCTTAAAAGAGGATATTTAAACAGTATATTTGCCTTTAGTATTTCATAGTACACTCAACCTGCTTCAGAAATACAAAAGCACTTGCATAAGCACTCATCCTGCCTGACCAAATATGATTTATGATGTATGCAAGATTATAGCAAGTTCTCGAATTTCGCGATAAAAATCACTTAGAGACAGAAAATTATGGTACACATTTTAAACTGATCCTTAAAGAACTCTAGTGAAACAGTTAAATATTAAAATTTATTTTTGAATAGAAGGATTACAAAAATCTCATCAAAGTAATGTGGGGAAAATATTTACTTCTTCAGTAAGTGGAAATATAACCAAATGCATATGTTATTATAAAACACATACAGTTCAAAACAGCGCTTTTGTGATGCTGAATAGTTAAAAGAGTGTTACACTATCCTATTTCAGTATGAATTCAGATTTTAATTGCAGTCTTAATGATAGGGTCTACAGCTATATGAAGTTCGTAAATTTCTGCTTATCTAACACCTGAAATGCATAAATTAATGTATTGTAAATGAAAACATATATGCAATTTTAAAAACAAAAAAAACAAAAAAAAAAAAAAAAAAAAAAAAAAATCTGAAATGTTTCAGATTTTAAATTACGTCCAAAGGGGCGTTTTTTTAACGTTTTGAGTGTTACCTTTATTTATTAAATATCATGTTCTTTGCACTTAAACCATAAAATTCAGTTCAAGAGCAATATCGCAAAATAATGTTAAATTAAGCATATCTTTAGAATTTTCGATATACACAGTCTCGCGAGCTGGAGATAAAAGTATTTTTTTTTCTATATAACGTAGCCATTTCTCGCTTTTAAAGCATTGATTTTGTAAATCAAAAATTCGTTAAAGTTTTACAAAATATAAAATCTATAATAAAACAAATTCCAAATTTGGGATTTCAGATGCCCATATTCGCAGTAGGATTTCGTCATTCAAAATTATCACAATGCGAGAAATAGACAATCATTTATGCAGATTTTTCATTATTTAATTTCTTCAAATATAATGCAGGACTCTAACATTTTGTGGCAACAGTTTGAAAAGTGAACCGACGTTTATGAGTCCGACGCAAAATCGCAAAACGAAAACAATAGTCCTTCAGGGACAAAGCCCCTTTGGACTAAAAATTACTTCCGATGCAAATTTCTTTATAATACTAATTAAACTTGGTATTTCTTTCTAAATATGTTGAGAATCTTTAAGATGAAATGAACAAAAAATAACTTTTTTAAATGATTTAGTTTTTTCAAATCTCAATTCGCTTTTGAAAATCAGTTACGTTACTCAAATGTTGTATATAAAAAAAATTAAGCAAGCGAATTGCATGAAGTATTGTTTTAACATCTGCTATAGATTACATTATACATGCTAGGTTATTTGAAGAGAAATTATTCGGAATTAATGGCTACCAGCTTTGGTAAGTTTAAAGATTTTGACGTTCTTTGACAGCATAAACTAGTATCAAACTCCTACACATTTGGTAGTGAATTATTGCTACGTCTGAAGTTAATGAAAACAAAGTGAGTGAGAACTGAGAAGGTTAAAATAACCTTTTTATTAAATCAAAACTTTCACATAAAAGAACTACTCAAGTTGGCTCAGAGCTTCTCACCGGCGTAACAATTATATATCAGCAGCAATAACGCGAAACCGAAGAATTACAAAACTTAACAGACTGGCGAAACCTGGTAGCATGGCCTCGAGAGACAATTTATCAGGCATACAAATGGGCTATCTGCTTAAGGAGAGATGACTTCGAAGTCTTTTAAAGGTAAGTCTACTCGCATGCATATTACACATAGAGAAGCTACGAAAATAAACCATGTAGCGAGCCCATTTGCCGGATCGAACTCCCAATATTCAGCGTTCTTAATCACTCAGCCACTGGCGGAGCGTTACATCATTTTATAAAATTTAATTGTTCATGCAAAGAAATGGTACACTTTCAAATACATAGAAGCTTTAAGTACCTCGAAAACATGTAAGAAATTCGTAGAGAAATTTTGCAACATTTTTTTAGTGTCTTAATTTTTTTTAGTTATTTTCCTAATTGCCAATTCTGGCTAGTTTATTTAGTATTTTTAATTGAAAGCAATTTTCAGATTAAACCAAACATTTAATATTTAAAATTAAATTCATAAAATTCACTGAAAAAATATGATTTTGTTAATAATTATGTTTCATTTTAATGAAATACCCATTTTTTGTTCACAGCAATACAAGAATATTTCCTCTACCACCATTACGTTTGATTTGAAAACTGCTAGAAAGCTACAAAATGAAACTTAGGTACGCATTAATATATCATTGTAATAATATATTACAATAAAAAGAAAATTTTGGTATAAATGCAGGTATTTCGGCGTGGCAGATCGAAACTTATTGTTCTCAAATTTTCCTGTTTGCATCTGTTTTTAACAAAATGCTTAAATTTTTGGTTGTATTCTCAGGTCTTATTTAGTTTTTGTGTTTTTATATAATTTACAGGCTTGCGATTTCTCAGAAGTTCAGATTATAAAATAATTTAATACACAATATATAACTTTTAAATTTGCCTCCAAGCTTTTCACAAGTAAGCAAATCAAATTTATACAGTTATTTGCGATCATTTTAATTAAAACACGTTTTTAATTACAGTGGAAAACACAAACTAAAAAATAGCAAAGTATTTTATTCAAAGCTCTCCGTAAGAAAACATTTAAAATTCCTTCTTGAACTTAGCTGAACAAATTCTTAACTTTCTAACCATTTTGACTGTAAAATAAGTCTACTCTGAATTCATGCTTAGGCGATGATTTCAGATGTAGTTAAGTCTAATAAAGTAAATTCTACACATTTATACGCAGATGCTAATTTCATGCACACAAAAAAAAAAAAAAAAAAAAAAAAAAAAATTATTGCTAAAATTATAGAGGAAAGCAGCAAATTCTTCGAACGATTCTAAGATATTACTGCAATCCGATATGCAAGTGTTATGATTAGAATGATGACTGATATTTCGGAAACATATCTATACTCAAGAATGGAAAGTATTGCTTTTATGCATATGTTATTCTGTATTGATGAAACAATAAAGACGTGTGTTGCGAAGAATCATCATTTTTTATTTTAGCAATAAAAAATCTACTGAGAAAAATACTAAAATCTGCATTTGGCTTTAGAAATGCTGCAAAAAGCTGAGCTTTCAGTCAAGTCCATAAAACTATATTTAAGACAGATACAGATAAACTTCCATCTCAGTTTTGAAACCTCAGCGCTCTTCCCTTACAGCCAACTTCGCCGACGTTCGGCTGTCCAAAATTCCCCCTTGCCGCACAGACACTAAACTTTTACAAGCATTCATGCTTTCGCCAGGGTTCGGGCCTGAGCCCATCGGTATGGAGTCAGTGTCATTAACCACAATACAGACTAGGTAGTTGGAATTACCACCTAAAATGTGAAATGAATTTTTGATGAACTCATTTCATGTATCTATTTTATTTATGCCTATCCAACTAACCGCCTTTATGACGCAGACCACTTCTCTCCATAAATTTGTCTCATTCGTGATCTCAGACTCTACGTGGAAGATATCTTCGATGTTGATGAAACAAAATTTCTTCATGTACATAAGTACCGTATTTGCCGGCGTATAAGACGTACCCCCTTTTTATACACATGTTTGAAGGATAAAACTGTATTACTGATCATTATAATGAATATAGTATTTTAAATATAACGTAATACAAATACAAAGTAATACTTTCTGCAAATACCCAATCTATCTGGGAAAGAACACCTTTTAATCTTCATCAAAACCCAGACACTCATTTCCAGAGCTAAATGAAGAATTACTTGAAACGTCTTCTAAATCAGTATCAGAGTCCTCTTACACCAAATTGTCCTCTGGACCATCAAGCACACTGCTAATGCCACACTTCTCAAATAATTCAGCCACTGTCTCTGTTTCTACAGCATCCTATGAAGCTTTGGCCCATTCACAAACTTGCGAAATGCTAGGGCTCTTCCTTCTTCCAGATGGTGTAACTTCAAAATCTGAAGACTGCATCCAGTTGTTCTACATCCCCTTCATAAATTCCTTAAATAGTTTAAAAATGCAGACATCTAAAGGTTGAAGCTGACTAGTTAGGCCTCCCGAAATTACAGCTAACTGAATTTTCAATTTTTTGAGTTTATTTTTATTACCTTCTGTTCTGTGAGAACGAAACTGATCCCATACTAGTAGGGCAGGTTCCTTCAACAGTCTGCCAGAGCGCCTCAACCAAATTTTATCTATCCATAACTTCATTCCTCCTCCATCCATCCAGCCTTTTGCGTGAACATGTATAAACACTCCTTTAGGTATTGTATAAACAATCCTTTAGGCAAGGAAATTTCCAGAAATGAATGTAATCAAAAACTGAGTATTGACATATAAGACGCAGTTTCGACAAGATGCACCCTTTCAAAGAAAACAAGTGCGCCTTATAAGCCGGCAAATACCCAAATATCACACTAAAATAGAGGCTTCTTTTAAAAGCGTGATAATATGTAGCTTTTGTGTTTTCTATTCACATTATGTAATAGCTCTCAAAGAAAAATACGACAAGCCAAGCGTGCTATTAAAAATAGATTTCGATTTCTATCAGCACTCTTTATAAGTTAAGGAGAAATGTTGCTTCAGCAACTATGAGCTATATTTGCCAATGTAGAAAAATCAGAGAATTTATGATATACAGATGTGTTAACATATGATGGACAATAATGAACTTACTGATACAACTGTCAAGGTGAGTTATTTTTAGTGTAAGGATTCAAAATTTGTCTAAAATTAAGCAAACAATACTAAAAGTTAATTCGAACTACAACTTTCGATATAACTCAAGTAATTTAGAACTCAAAAACTAAAACAGCCTCTTGCTTGCGAATAAATCAGCAACCGATTTAAAGCTGCTGACAGTTAACAAATCTAAACACTAATTGAACTTAGCATCTGGATATGTACTAATTCTCAAAACAAACAGGTTCGTTAGGTTAATGGCATATCACATAAGCAATATCGCTCTAAGGCAGAGCTTTTCAAATTTATATGTTCGCGTACTCCTACCACGAAAATAATTATAAGTTGTACTCCATATAATATAATATAATATATATATAATATAATATAATATAACGTAATCTAATCTGATGTAATATAATGTAATATAGTTAGTATGACATAATATACTGCATAATTTAATGTAATGTAATATAATACAATGTAGTATAATATAATGTAATATATCATAACATATATAATAGTATATTATATAACATAATATAATATTATATATCGTAATATTATGTCATGCTCTATAATATAACTTAATATAATGTACATAGTATAATCTAACCTAATATAATATAATGTAATATAATGTGCATGCGCTTTAAAGCGAGATCAATTATGATATTCAGCTTTCCAAACGCCAGTGAAACCGGATACAGCGACCTGACCTCGCACTGACACGAGGTACGATCATACACTCGCAAGTGATTATAACCCTACTTTCTTTGGTTTACTCCCAAGTATCACTTCGCGTATTCCACTTTAAAGACCACTAATTCAAGGAAAGGAATGCTTTCGTGGAAGACTTTCTAAGGGAAACTGTCTCGTATTCACGTTACGCATGAGGAAAACCAACCATGCAGACAGCTCATTCACATGGAATGAATTCAGATAGAATTCCCTGTATTCAGCGGTATTAATTTCTCGGCAACTGGTAAGGCCTTCAATACAAAGATTCTAATTTCAACTAATATTTACCCAACAGGCTCAATGAGCAGTATAAAAGCAATCCTCCAAAGACGACAGGTGTTTCTTGAAGCGGGAGCTAATTTCATTACGCTTAAAAATAGCACATAATTTAAACTTATATCTCGCATATCAGAAATTAGTTTAAAATCTTCTGAGATGATCGAATTCATCTGACGAAAGAAGACGTTGTAAAAATTTAAAATTTAACTATTACAAAACAAACAGAATTATTTGATGTTAAATAATATCAAATATTGATAAGGTAAATATGCTACACTTACAAGAATGCATTTTCGAGCAACGTGGTATTTTGTAACTGTAGAAATGAATTATGTAAATTTTAATTTGTTCTGAAGGCGTGTGTTCATTAATGTTTTTTTATTCCAGGTAACTTAATTTGTACTGCATGTTGAACAGTCGACAATATTTAATGCGAATGGACAGTCTACACCATCAATAAATTTTTAAATGTCTAATATTCGAACTGCTTCATCACCCTGACATAGCCCGAATAAACATCAAATAGAACTGATGGAATATTATTTCAAGGCTAGTGCAACGGAATGACTGAAAGCAAACTGTCATAATTTGCATTCCTCTTTCAATTTGCTTCTAAGAATGTTCGGAAAGGGCTTAAATAAATAAAAAATATCAATATATATCACTTCTGAAATATCATCCATAACTTATTAGATATTATCTATAACTTATTAGATATTATTATATTATCATCCATAACTTATTGGATCCATAACTTATCCATAACAATACATATCACTTGTGAAATATCATCCATAACTTAATAGATTTATTATGGAATAATATATATAATTTTTATTTATAGTAATAAAGATATTTAAGAAGTAACCTTGAAATTTTTTTAATTGATTTTTGTTAAAATATTTTCATATTGTTTGTTTTCTTTGCTTTTTCAAGGATTAAAACTTTCTTATTATATTTTCATAGTTTCTCTTTATATATACATTTTTTGTTGTTGTATGAATTTAAATTGAAATATGCTGCACGTTGAATGTTTTTTTTAATATTCGAAACTATATTACTTTATCTTTTAAAATATTTAGATGCTGAAATACAGTACATGTATATATGCAGAGCCGTGCCTAGTATTTTTTCACCTGAGGCAAAGAGGCAGACGGGTGCACTATAGATAATCAAATTAAATGTATCTGTGTATGCTCAGATTCTACAAAGATGATAATATAAAAATGATCTCTTTAAGTCTTATAATATTTTAATCATACCTTTTATTCAGAAAGTTAATATATGTAGTACTTTATAATTTTAAAAAAGTTAAAAGTACCTCTCTGATAAACAGCAAATAACACTGAAATAATATAAATAAGTCTACAGCTAAAAATTATTACATTAATATCGAAGCTTTATTTGCAATTTTTTTTTTTTTGATGAAATAAAACCGAGAATATTTTTAAAAACCACTTGATTATTTAATTCATATTCTACACAGGAAAAGTGACAGCTGAAATGTTTTGGGGCCAACAGAAGATTTTGCATAATTTTTATTTATTTATTTATTTTAAGTTTCTTGAAATTCCATCCTAGCATTAGTAACTGGTAACGTTAAAAGGATTCTTAAAGCAGTTTCTGAATTCAGATACTATGATCGAACTAAGCGGAATTACTGAATTATCTTTAAAAGAACCGATTTTGCTTTAGCGACAAGAATTATTGAAATAGCGTGGTTATTAAATTAAATACTTTTGATGAAATATCTGAAGCAATTGCATTATTTGGATATTTAAATAGTAAGCTGCTACTTTTCAAAATACTTTTCCTACGAAATTATTTTTTTTACGAGCTAGAAACTAAAAATCGCAAGTTATTCCGTTTAATTTTTTGTTTGTCTTTTTTAGTTATGAGACTAAAATATCTCTCATATCTTTCATTTGCAACGTGAAAAATATTTATTCTGGCAAATTTGGTTCTTTTATGATTATTAGTTTATTAACCTTATTTGTGATTTATTATTTATAATGATTATTATTTATAATTGATTATTTCTGATTTATTAACCTTTGTTTTGCACTTCGTGCAATGATCTGTTGATATATTCATTTTTAAAACTAAATTTGGACATTTCTCAAAATTGTTTTCTCTTATTTTTCATGAAGAAAGAGCTATTCTTTCTATTATGTTTGTTGTTTAATTCTATATGCAAAACATACAAGGGCTATTTGTCAAAGGAAGACAGATCTCTTCGTCGAAGGTATTTTAGGGGAAACTGGCTCGTATGTACATCATACACGAGGGTAACCCAGAAAAAAATCCCTGCACTGGGACTTCATATCAGGATAGTCGCTCTATTAAGCGTGCCATCTTTGGATCTTAAGAAATTTTGACTGGCACGATTTATTTTCCTTTTCTTTTCTTCTATCTTCTTTTTTTTTTTTTTTTTTTTTTTTTTTTTTTTTTTTGGCAGCATTCAATTCCAGAAAGTCATATGTAAAATTTTAAATTACGTTTCTTAAAGAGATTAATAGTTTCAGTCCATAACAATGATTTACCATTTAATGTCCTGTATAATTTCATTTCGTGTAAAGTAATAATAATGAGCTGAAAATAACATAAATTCATGATAATGATTTTTCTATTTCATTTTAAGCATTTAATCGTTAAGAGTTTATAAGATATTTCTCCCGCCTTCCTAGCGTGCCTTCGTGGTGTAGTGGTTCTGCACGCTGGGCTGGTATTCCAGAGGTCCATGGTTCGATTCCCGGCGAAAGCGTTTGCTCATTTTTCATCTTGCCTACTTCCAAAAATGTCCTGATGTCTCTACAAGTTAACCAATGTTTAGGATTAAGAAAAATTAATGAATTAAGAAAAAGCGTAAGCGTGCACAAATGCTAATAAAAAAACAGAGCTCCTTTTTATTGCTTTAAATATGCTATTTCAAGACAGTGTTTCTCAATATGTCTCAAGGTCCACCAGCGGCCGAAGCGGTAAAGTCGCTGAACGCTGGTAGTTCGGTCCAAGGTTCGAATTCCGCGAACGGGCTAGCTGCGTGGTTTTTCCCATGTGTAACGTGTATACGAGCCAATTTCCTTTAGAAAGCCCTCCACGAAGGCATCCCTCCCTTTAGGCAGATAGCCCTAGTATGATTTGCTATAATTAAATACACCACACACCAATATGTCTCAAAATTGAAAGTTAATAATCATAATTTATTATTTAAATGGATTTCTGAAATTTCGCAGCTAATTTGGCACCCCATCTTAACTGTTCGTCTGAAGCACGTGCCTCACCCTCCTCCTAGTACATTTAGTCAAACGATTGAATCAAAAAATGGTGGTGAACTAACAGAAACAATGCAAAACAAAAATAAAATTAATTTAATAAAATAACATAAAAATATAATAATATAACAAATAGTTGAAAATTGTTTGGTCTTTTTTTCAAGATGCTGCCAAAAACCTTTTACATACTGCGCGAATTTAAAAAATAATAATCTTAAATTTGAAATTTATAAACTCTTGTTTATTAGTTTGTATGCATAAATATACGCACACGTATATGTAAAATGTTAATCTTATTCTGTCACTCGTGTAACATTCATGAATTTTAAAATGGCATGAAAATTATTCATTTAAGCTTCATTATACTTCATTGGTTAAATAACAAATGCCTTTTTTAAAAAGTTTTTTTTTAATATATCCCTTACATGCAGTCAAAATTAACGGATTAGCACAGATTAATACTTCTTTCGTTGAATTTTGTTTTTTCTAAGGAACTGATTTTAAATCAGTTTCTTGATTTTTAGTCATGAAACGAAGTATTATTTATTAGCGGCGCAACAATTTATTTCACCAACTTATAATATAATACGAGTACTTCAGTAATGAAATATTCGTTGTATACAACGTGAAAATACACATGTAAAACTGCAACAGCAATTTTACATGTTTTCATCTAACGAATATTCTGAATGAATTCAAGAGAAACAGATTACGAAAAATAAAATGTCTCTGTAGTTAAAACTAATTTCCTAACTCCTGTAATTTTAATATGAAGTTTTGCATTTATTTCTATGAGTACCCCTTCCTTTTCCAGTGCCTCCTAGGAGGGCTTTAATCACATATCCTTTATTTTTCCAGAATAGAAGCTTCTCGGGAAGAGATACGACCTTTTTTTACACTCATACTGCCTATATTTTTCCAATGCTTTCATTTCAGGATTTATTTTGCTAAAATTATTAAAGAAATCACGTTACTTCGGTATTTTAAGGGATGATTCGATATGTCTTTGAAAGATTAAAATACTGAAACTAAATAAATTCACATAATCTAATGACATTTGGAAAATAACGTAAAAATTTCACTATAATTCCATACGTATTTCTACGCACAAAAAAGGCTACTTCAGGGTCTGACAAAAAAAGATTAGTTTAGTGTATTTGTTTCCTGCCACTGTTAGTTGACGTTCTGGTTTGCAGCACACAGACCTTGCTAGCCAGGAAGACATTTTTTAGCGGCGAACTTATGTCTTGGAAAAATTCTAAGTTGTCGAGTAAGCCGTGGAGTGTGACGCTATGAATATTTATGATATTTCCCACCTATAAGGGCGAGGATCAGAACAATCTCGCAAATGTATGTCAAGGGCTTTTGCATGCCGAATGAGCGCGACATTTTCACTCATTCAGACCTTTAAATAAATTGTCTGCTTTCTGCGTTTGCTAAATGAGATAAAAATGGCTTTAACTTCTTACGAGAACCATAACAAATTGCAAATTTGACACTTTGTGATATAAATCCTCTCTTTAGTCCGTTGAAGTTTTTGAATCTGCGACTTCAAAAGACAACCACACCTGTTCCATTTTACATGCAGTAAAACTACTTCTGCACAGCAGGGGATAAAATTCATCTAGTAATATCTATCACCATTTATATTGTTGGCTCAGAAAAGCTTTCATAGTTACCATAGAAAACATGCAAATTAATTATTATAGCTCAAAAGCTAGCATGTTGAGTAACAAAAGGTTTGACTATTTTATAAGACAGAAATGACTATAATTCGCAAAGAGGTGCGCATTAAATGCAATAATTTAGTAACTCAGTAGCTATAACAATGCACACTTAGTTACATATTCTATTTCAATACAGCAGAATATCTTAGAAGACGGCGGGTTTGAATGCAAATTGAGAAATAAAACCAATTAATTACAAAGGGGGCAAAATCAATGTCAAAAATCTTACGGAAACTGCTAAAAACATCAAATATTTTCCTGGTAGGCAAATCGATTGTTACTGCACATGATAATAAAGATATTCTTAAGTGTTTTGGTTACAAAATAAAATGGGTTTTTTATTCACTATAAATTTCATATTTCATAATTTAAAGAGACAAACTATTCAGTGCTTGTCTGTGCTAAAAGTCTGCAGTATTACTTCATAAAAAAAGCATATACTCATATATTAATAACATGTTTCCCAGAAGATACAAGAAGTTAGAAAATTCTTCAGACACAGATAACCGTTGCATCAGATAATGATATCTTTTCTACAAATCTTTCAGCTTTTAACGTGTGAATTTCAAGGCTATGCCACTTGTTTGACTTGCAACAACAAATAATAGTTAATTTCATCACGTACTTGAATTTTAAAGCAAACCAATTTCTAAACAGTAC